TGGCACAGCAGATCTCTCCTGACCTGCCCGCTGCTCCCTTCAGTAGTGTATTTCACTCTGTATGCCGGTTCTGCTTCCCACTCTGTCTCTAGTGAATTCTCTCATGGCCCCTGCACATCTGGCCTATACCACAGTTCTGCATGCATAAGTAAATAAAATCTTTTAAAAAATAAATAAAATTAAGCAATGAAGGGCCCCCCGATAGCACAAGGGGTTAAAGTCTCAGCACTGTCAGGCTGTTGCCAGCCACTGTGACCTGAGTTCAATCCCTAGCCAGGGAGCTAGGCAACATGGCACAGCAGACCTCTCCTGTCTGTAGTTTGTTGCTTCCCTTGGCAGTGCATTTCAGTAGATCTGCCTTTCTGCTCCCTGTTCTGTCTCTGAGCCCTTTTACCCCTTGCATCTCCGGCCTATAGCCCAGTTCCTGTTTGCATAATAGATAAGTTTTTTTGTTTTGTTTGTTTGTTTTTTAAAATTTACTTACTTATGCATGTAGATTTGGGGTACAGGCCAGAGGAGCAGGAGTGATGAGCGGATTCACCATAATCAGAGTGGGGCGCAGAGCAGACAAATTGACGAAGCACACTGCTGGAGGAGCAGCAGGCAAGACAGGAGAGGTCTGCTGCACCATGTGGATCACCTCTGGGGCTGGGATCGAACTCGCACTGAAGTGGCTGTGGCCCACCTCAGAATGCTATACTTTCACCCACTGCGCTACCAGGGAGAGCCTCGATAAAAATCTTTTTTAAAAAATTAAGCAACAAAAACAAATTAGGGATGCTTAAGTGGTAGAGGTTGGCTGGAATCGAATGCAGAGATTTTGAAGTCTTGTCCATTTCTGTGGCATTTTTCCTCATATTTGCTATTCCCACTCTCTGCTCTCTTCCCACTGGGAAGAGTATCTTTATGAAAGATGACTTTGCTGTTAAAATAGAATTACCTGCTGAGTCCCTTTTGGGTGGCTTGAAAGATATATGTATGCACTGTATTTACAGGCGAGGAGAAGATCTTTTCATGTGTATGGACATACAACTGGTTGAAGCATTGTGTGGCTTCCAAAAGCCAATATCTACTCTTGACAACCGAACCATAGTAATCACTTCTCATCCAGGTATGGTAACTCTTTCTATTCTGATGTTCTCTTTTTATTGCTGACAGCTAGTAGTCAGTGAGGTGACAAGTGTTTTTCTTGTTCAGTTTATATATGTAAACTGAACTAAAATTTATGATTTGCCCTTTGCAGGCATCTAGGAAATCCATAAATGAAAGATAACAGGATTGGATTCACATGAATTTTCTCCTATCAGTGAACTCAAATAGCCTTCTGTTCTTTACTTTCTTGCTTCATAAAAATTTGACTAAAAGAACTTTAATGTTTTTAGGCCAAATTGTCAAGCATGGAGATATCAAGTGTGTGCTAAATGAAGGCATGCCAATTTACCGTAGACCATATGAAAAGGGTCGCCTAATCATTGAATTTAAGGTAAGTTACAGATTTCAAAGAATATTTGAAAATAATTAGCTTACTGGAATGTGATACAGAATTAGCTTTTCTAATGCAAGAAACATTTTCATTCTCCCTTTGTCCCAGAAGAAATATACTTTTCCCTGTTGAGCATTCTTTAACAAGTTGGAATTGGTTTGCTTGTAGGCTACCTAAAGATCCGTGGGGGAAGGGGAGAGATGTTTGCAAATATGTACTAATGAAAGGCAGGCTTTACGTGGAATCTTAAATTTCAAGCAGAAGCACTTAATATAATGTGGATTTTGGGGCAAAATATGTTGCTGCTTTGGGTTTTTTGTTTGTTTTGTTTTGTTTTTTAAGATTTATTTGTGCATATAAGAACTGAGTACAGGCCAAAGGTATAGGGTGGGGAGGGGAGGTGTAAGAACATTCACCAAACACAGTGGGAAGCAGAACAGTCAGATTGACTAAAATACTGCTGAGAAGAACAGCTGGCAAGACTAGAGAGGTTTGCTGTGCCATGTGGGTCAGGTCCCTGGCCGGGGTGCAGTGGCTGCAGAGGGCTTCATAATGCTATGCCATAAGGGAGGGCCCTTGCTTGATTTTTTAATAAGGGTGATTCAGAAATTATCCAACCTATTCCTCAATCTTAAGTGACTTGTTTTTTCACCCAGACATCATTTGATAAAAACACCTTGAGGTGGGGGCTCTATGGTGCCCCAAGAGGTTAAAGCTCAGGACTATGAAGCTGTCTACGGCTACTGCAGCGCAAGTTCGATCCCCAGCCAGGGAGGTGACCCACATGGTACAGCAGACCTCTCCTGCCTCGCCTGCTGCTCCTCTGTGCAGTGTATACTTAACACAGTCAGTCTCCTGTTTTGCTCCCCGCTCTGCCTGGTGAATCCTTTCACACACATACCCCCAAACATTTGGCCTGTACCCCAGGTCTTGTATGCATAAATAAATGAATTAAAAAAAAAACCAAAAACCTTGAGGTAAAAAATTGCCATTTTGATTTTGTTTTATTTGAATCACATTAGAGGATTAAAATACTTTCAGATGGGGTTTTTACATAAAGTACTTACTGTAGAGATCACTGTTCTATGCAGTATTTTTCTTAAAAGATATGGTTATCCTATACCTTAAACCCTAGTTCATAATAGTAGGTGGAATTCTTTTTAAAGCATGTATTTTTAACCTGGGATTGTATGATTTAAAAACGTTGTGTTTGAGGAGGGAGGAGGATGGGTTGCAATAAATTTGTCTAAACTAATGAAGAAATGAGTTAAAGTAGCAATTTCTTTTTACAGGTAAACTTTCCTGAGAATGGCTTTCTCTCTCCTGATAAACTCTCTTTGCTGGAAAAACTCCTACCTGAGAGGAAAGAAGTAGAAGAGACTGATGAAATGGACCAGGTAGAACTGGTGGATTTTGATCCGAACCAGGAAAGGCGACGTCATTACAATGGAGAAGCTTATGAGGACGATGAACATCATCCTAGGGGTGGTGTTCAGTGTCAGACCTCTTAATGGGGCCAGTGAAAAACACTTCACTGCTGACAGTTTATATGCTGTAGTGAATGAGTGAAGGACTATAATCAATATGCTCACTACTTGGATTTGTTTTTGTTCTAATATTCAACTATAGTAGTGTTTTAAAGTTAAATGAAGAATAAACTCAAATATAAAAGCTCCAACTTTGCCCTGTATGTATGATGACTTCAGTGTGCAAGATGAAGTTTAATACCTGTAAAAACTACTTTTAAATAATTGCCCCTAGTATATATTAGGACATACATTGTAATTGAGTCCAGCTATCTATGTACATGAAATACAGTGTAGCCCGAAAAGTTATAGGTGTGTGTATTGATTTCAGTGTATGACCCGTACTTTGTTAAGACTCTGAAAGTTAAACTGTATTTAACCTGGCAGTCAAAGAACTTAATTTGTAGAGCAGTGTTGGTCTGTATAATTAATTGTATAAGTGGGATTCATTGTGATGCCTCTACATTTATTCTATTGCCTCAACTGTAATTTGATGGCATGATAAATAACTTAGCCTGTGGTATCAGTGATAGAAAAGATAACCTTTCTAAAGAAGGGGCTTATCATAATATGCTGCTTCTTGAGGGCTTGCACTTGTAGAATTGCTCCCCTTTTGCTGTGCCATCTTTTTTTTCTTTTTTAATGAGTTCTTGTTAGATTTTTGTTCCCCTTTCTCTTTGGACCATGATAAAACCTCAGTAGTGACTTATGGAGCAGGATAACATAAGAAACAAAGAGTGATAGGACCTTTACACAGCGATGTCATTTGCATGTATGAGTTAGGAAGGTGTTTATTAGACATGTTACAGACTTACTTTAAACCATTTATGCTCCAAGATAACTGTAACTTAATGTTGATAGTATATCAAATTATGATGAATAGCTTTAATTGTATGTTTAAAAGTCATGTTCACAAGCTTAAATCTGGATATCAGAATTTAAGCAATTCTTGAAATGTGTGACTGTCTCCTTAATATACTGATTACAAAGCATTTCCAATGTGTGTCACTACAGGCTTTTTTTTCCCCTCCCAGATGAAAATACTAACTTTTCACAAAGATAAAAATAATTTTCTTTTCAACTAGTTAATAAGATATATCCAAATAAAAGTTTTAGCTATAATTAATGTGAAACAAAGATAATTGAGTAGAGGGATAAATTGTGAACCAAGAAATGGGGGTTTAAAAAACTTGACACCAGAATGAGCCTTTTGCCAATTTATTCGTTTCTGAGTTGCTATATATATTCTAATGATGTTTAAAAGTTGTGGAAGTGGGGCACATTTCTGTTTTCCTGAAAGGATACATCAGTTTTTGAAAGAGGGGAAACTAAAACATGAACTAAAGAATGAGCCCAAACCTTCAGTGTTTCTTGTCAGTGACTTTCCTAATTGATAACCTCTTTTTATTCTTGTGTCTTTTTCAGTCTGTCTGCTAGATAGTTAACTACTTGTTTGGATAGGAAGCAGTATTTCAGGAAAACACTTAATGAGTCAAAATGACTGGCAAATTATAGTTTTCACTGGATTACATGCAGTCTAAAAAATTTACAGTGAACATGTTAATACACAACATTTTTTTCCATTTAAAATTATTTTATTATAATCTTGGTGATTGTGAAAAGAAAACATCAAAACAAACATACTGGGAAATCTTCAATGATAAGTCAACTTGGCCTTCCCATAGTTCAACCCAGATTTAGTCCTATTTTCCAGGTGGTGTATTGGTAAGTCTAACAGCTTTTTTTTAAATAATATATTTTTACATCATTTTGTGCCTTTTTCCGTCTCAGTTGTAATCCCCTTGGGCTTGCCATCACCAAATCAGCTGTGTGCCATCACCATAGTCCAGTGCACCTCCCCCACTTCCCACCAGTTTTGATCCCATTCCACACTCCACCCCTGAAAAATGTCTCTGGTATAGAGTTATTTGTTATCATTATTCCCTCCTGCCCCGCCCCGCCCTTTATGTTCCTGATGTAAGTGAAACCATCTGCTATTTTTCTTTTTCTTTCTGGCTTCACTAAGCATGATTCCTTCCAGCTCCATCCATGTTGCTGCAAAAGGCATGAGCTT